ATTTTAATATTAAAAGAAATTTATTTTTTTTCCAATAAATATAATTTAATACATTAATAATATTTTAATAAATTATAGTAAATGTTATATCAAATGTTATTTACCATGTTATTTCATATAATATGTTATGTTAAATTATTTATATTATTTTATTATGATTTTTATTTTGATTTACCTTCCATATTTGTATTAATGATAACACATCTTAAAATATATGATAAATCATTTGCCCAACATGTTCACATCATATAATTATCATTGATATTGCAAATCTCATTGATATTGGCAAACCAATAACTTGTTGAGACTTTAATATTTTTAGCAGTATTTATATCTTCAACAGAAAACTTAGAAACTATTTTTCTAATGACATAAATGATTCATTTTCTATTTGCAATGCTTTATTTATCATATATAATGTAGAAGGAATTGATTTTTCTGCTAAATATAAAATTGTTTCAGAAGTTTCACATTCAGTTAGAAACTTTCATAAGATAACGTCATCAATATTATTATTCCATCGGCTCAAAATATGGTGTCTTTTTTATTGGAAAAATTAAAGGAACTGCTTCTTCTTTTAATTTTGGATTTTTTCTTATCACATAAATGATTTTTCCATCTGCTTGCATAAATACATCTTCTTTAATAATATCTTCTGACTTAAAATGTAATTCACAAACTCTGCTATTCCTATTTATTTTTATATTTTTAGTAGACATAATATTGTACCAAGAAGTAAACATATCATTCTATAAAAAAAAATTAAAGTTTTAATTATTAAAATATACTCGAAATATTAGGTGGGAAATATTAGTGGGAAAAAGTTCGTGGCATTTTTTAATGCCATCTAACAGAAAAAACACCACGAACTTTTTCCCACACCTAATATATACTTGTAATATATATATTATTTGTAAATACAATATACAAAAAAAAGATATTATTCCTTACAATGTAAATACTTACTGTGCGAGGTGTAAACAAGCTTTTTCTTGCTGTTCCTTTTTTGTCTCCTGTGAAATTGCATCCATGCAACAAGCCATTATTTATAAAGCAACTTATTTTATCTATAATAATATAAATTAAGAAAATTAGTTAACTGCAGGATTATCCTTGACAGCAAAGTTTGCGGATATAAATTTTGAGCAGTCTGCTATCAATTTTTGATTGCAACAAATTGTATACAGAGTTTATATTACTGAGTTTATATTACTGACATTATCAGCAAATTATTATCAAAAGTATGATAAAACCTACTAAACATACTATGCCAACAGATTGAGGGGATTTGAGAAACAAAGTCCTGTATAATCTGATGGTAGATTGACAATGAGAGCAAATCAAGAGCAGAATCTAATTCGAGCAGATTCTGCTTGGTTTCTATCACTTCTGGCATAACATGTTTAGCAGGTTTTGTCATATTTCTGATAGCAATTTGCTAACAATATCAGTAATACAAACTCTATGTACAAGTTGTGTACACTCTGTGTATAGTTGAGTCTGTCAGCAAGCTTTGTTGACAAACTCATATCTAAATGTGAACACAGATGTTATGGTTTTGTAGTTAAAATCTGATAAAGTTCCAATTTGGTTCCAAATTGCTAACATTTTGTTATCAGGGTATATTAATGTTCAAATGAAAATATACGCATTCTGATTGTTAAGAGAATAAAACATTATATATAATATTTCAGCTAAATATTTATATTTCAGCTAAATATTTATATTTATTTCACATGCAAGCAAGGTTATAAAAGCTAAAATTTTAATATTTACGTTAAAAATAATTCTATAAATTTCCTCAAAATTATATCAATTACAAATAAAATGTAATTAAATTATACTTTAAACAATGTACAACATTACAGAACTTTACTAAATAAACTCACTTCTACATTTAAATATAATTCACGAACAGTGACACTTACCATACATCGTATATATATGAATGTTCAATATGGCAACGAAATGTTGCAAGTTATTCCATTTAGCGAATCCGGCAGTATAGGGTGCGTTTGGGGAAACACTATTCGTACTATGAACGCAAACCAACGCTGTTCTTGGAGCCAATAATGCGATAGCGTTAGCAAGCTCCATGAACGATCCTAGCATAGCGTTTAACCAGAGAGAAATATTTGTCGAGGTTAAATTAATGTAGATGATTCTGTTTTCAATCACCAACCAAACTTTTCTCTATAATTAAAATTTTTAAGGTTTTGTAATGTATTTGTAACATAAATTTTTAATTTTCTCGTAGTGAATAACAGAACGCAATCTCAATTGCAATCTCTATGATAGCTTGCCGCTAGGTCAGAGTGAACAATGTAAACTAGATCAAAAAATTAATAGTTATATTAAATAAATTAATCAGATAAAAGGAAGAAACCCTTGAGCATCCGTTATCGATTTCAAAAGAAGAAGCATATCTACATTTAATACCTAAGGATCTTAAGCATCTGCAGCGGAATACCCTATCGCAATAGTAACTTTTTTCCGTACACGGGAATTAAAAATTGCCAGTAACAAGATATCTCTTTCACATTTATAATGAAATCAAATACACAAGTTGAACTTTGCAGAAACTTTGAAAAGTTAAAGATGATACACAAGAATTACCAGTCTAGTGATAAACCATTCCAGCCTAGTGATAAACCATCAGCAGAGATTAAAATTGAGATTACAAAATTGAGATTCATTATGATAAAATTTGAAATTCACACGTTATGTATGTACGTTTACTCTATGAAATTCTAAGAGAGAAAAGTTTGGTGACACTCGAGAACAGAATCCCCTTTAACATTAATCTAACTTTGACGAATGTTAAACGCTACCAACGCTATGTTGGGTCGTTCACAAATTTGTAAACGCTAATGCTATCAATACACTTCGGAAGGAATAGCGTTAATAGCGCATAGTTGTGACGTAACACGTTACCATTAGTCATGCTATCAATACACTTCGGAAGGAATAGCGTTAATAGCGCATAGTTGTGACGTAACACGTTACCATTAATCATGATCGTATTTTTTAACGATATCTGCACCTTCGCGAACAGTTTGTAACGCTAAATAGCGCGAATAGTGTCTCTTCGAACCCACTTTTTTCTCCCTATCCTATCTATTGTAGTTAGATCTCCTTATTCTTACTTCGGTCGCAACTAACGCTTGCAACACCACGCTTGTGTGTATTACAGCGCTGCATCACGATAAGTGGTCAAAGTTAGGCGTGAAAAAGTGATGTTTTAATGACAAAATTTATGTTGCGTGTTATTATTTGCCTAATTATGAAAATGTAACTTGTCTCGTACTTATCAAAGTCATATCGATGAAAACTAAAGTTATCTTGGAATTTTATATGTAAAAACATATATTTTACTCGTTTCAATAGCTGTCAAAGTGTATTTCTGCCCGACTCATTTTACGCCTCACTTCCCAGTCAAAAATAGTTCCTCAAAAAGATATCGTTTCGACATTGTTACGATGGAAAAGTTGTCAATTCGAAACTTGCATCGAAATTTCAATATTTTCGAATGATAAAAAATTACGTATGTAGAGAATGCAATGAGAGATTTGATACATTTTTAACATTTTTGGTATAAATTTGTGATATGTAATCTTATTAATTTTAAAATATTTTCATTCAAAGGTCGAATCGACAATTTTTTTCGATTTCATTTCGACAATTGCAATATCGTTCTAATCATAAAAGCTTTCTCAAAATTTTTCAGAATTTATATAATTTTTTTAGATAATTTTTTAGAAAATTGTGGAATTTTTTTATACAAATCGGAACATTTTTTACAATTGTCGATAAAGTCTACATCTTTTCTTCTAATAATTCTTTGTATCTTATTTTATTGTTCTATTCCTGAATAACATTATTTTTATTTGTACTTTGTAGTTTATTTAATATAATCTTATTACGTTATTTTGTATTGAGAAATTTTAGGGAATAATGTCTCTTACCATACATACTAACAATCTATTAGCTATCTCTTACCACAAATGAGCAAAATCAAGGAAAAATATTATCAATTCTATCAAAGTCTAGTTAGACTAATTCTAGCTTGAATCGATATCGAAACGATCTAATTTTATCTTCTGAAATATGATGCTAATCAATACTTATTTTCACAATAAAATTTCAATGAAATTTTAATGAATTTTCTCCACCACTATTATTATTAGTAACATTACTTGTCGAATTTATTTATTACATTAGTGGCACTGGTAGTATATTTTTATGCTGATTAGATCAATTCAAGATTTTATTTCCAACTCGAAAATTAATCGAAATTGGAGCCAAAAATCCATCGAAATCAATAGAAATTTCGAAAACTTTCGACTTTTATTTTCGACATCGAAATGACGTCTTTTTGAGAAATTATTTCTGATTGGATTACTGATTGTCAAGGAAGGAAAGGGCAGTTTTCATAGATTTTTAAAGTGATTTCATCATTTCGTTTCATCCAAATTGTCTTTATTTCAAAATGGCACGCAACATAAATTAACGTGTTATTTCTCGCTTCTGATCACGATTCCAACATGGCCGCCGCGACTAATCAGGAGCTATAAAGGAGAACGCGGTAATAATTCCTTGCTTACATTGCAATCTAACATAAAATATAATTAATAGCATGTCAATATATATATAT